CAAGAAAACAAAGATATGTGAAATTGAATGGAAACGTCAGCTCAACTCATATGATTGTGGGAAAATTCCTCTTCTACCAGTCTTTCATTACCTTAAACGAAATTGTGTGAATACATCTCATATCACTTTAAAGGATATAGGGTGAATACATCTCATATAGCAGAGAACAGCTTGAGTTCAACTCGATCGGCCTGACAACACGATCAAGTTGTGAAACCGAGATCAGACCACCGCGCTATATCACGAAAAGAGACTGCGATCAAAATCGAGGTCACCATTTCTTAGTCTTCACATCTAAGTTTATGCCGAATGGTTTCTGACACATACAGCAACTCCTTATTATAACTTTCGGCTTGATTATATTCGACGAGTTGTTGCTAATCTTGGCAGATTACGATACCTGAAAAGGTGAGTCTGTGAATGTACCGATTTCACGGTCCATGCTTGGAATTATGCTAACTATGGTGGCAGATGACTACGAACAATGTGCATCTAACTACATCGCCTTGACATTCCAACCAAGTTGCAAAGACGAGGTAGGAGCCTGCGACAAAATCTTGGTCTTCAAACGAGGATTCTAACCAATGCCTCATATTTTGGCAAATTCTGTCTTTCATGCCATCAAAGCTCCAGTGAAGATATGACCTGCTGCCGCCTCATTATTGCAATAAATACGTCGGTGAGGACAAGTGAAAGTCACACAAACCAAATACAGAAGGTAGAAAAGTTGAGTTTCGATTCGTGGTATCGGCTGTTTTGGCAACAAAGACAGGAAACCCGCCAACCCAAAGATGAGCTTTTCCGCTCTTTCTGTACCTGTTAGAATATGGAACACGGAATCCACCTGCATTGACGACCTACCACCTCTCAAATTTTCCAATTTTGTCCGATCACTCATTGCGTCGAGAGAGCAATTCAAGCTCTCACTCTCTCCTTCCCTCTCTCTTTGTATGTTTTGGCGTGTGTGTGTGTGTGTGTGTGTGTGTATAGTCGTGGGTTTTAGCCATTAACGGCTCATCTGCCGACGTGAAACCCTCCCCCGACACGATTCGTCTGCTACAGTCTGCGACTCCAGGTGCCTTCATCATGAGCCCGAACCAGATACACACAACCTCTCAAGAAAGCCTGTTGATGGCGTGTGTTAACTTGGTACAGGAAAGGGCGAGTTGTCTGGAGGTGACCAAAACCAGCTTCCTCGGACACTTTGGCGTAGGCACGAACCGACCCCTCTGTCGACATGTGCATTCCCGATACCGTTGTGTCCTCATCTCCGTGTTGCACCCTCCCACATTTCCACACACCCGACACACACACACACACTCATCCATACACAAGCGAGAAAAGGCGAGGTCAGGTCATGCCGAGGGTGATTCATACTAACTCTATCGGCCTCACACCCATCAGGGATTCCGTCTGGTTGGGTCGGTACAGGACAGATAGATGGGCCCCGTCGCCCATCTCCATGAGGCGACGTAACCTGCAAGACCGACAGTTGTTTGTCTTTTCCCACCTACCAACAGCCGCTTTGGCCAACAACCATTGCTCTCTTACTCACACCCTCATCGGGCTTCGTCAGACTCAACCAATCGCCGCGACCACACAATGGCCTGGCTTGACGTACCAACTTTCGAGCCTCGAGCAGAAGGGTTCGAAATGCTGCTGGCTTCCTGGTCTCCTCTCGGTGGGGTTCTTGTGCGAAAAGCGAATAAGAGAGGAGAGCAGGAAGAGCTTGAGCCATCAGAAGGAGGCTTCAGGCGGTGCGTGAGTTGTCTGCATGTGCACGTCAGTGCATAAGAGTGAAGGAGAATTTTGGCAAGAAATGGGAGAAAGTGTTTGGTCACAACGAAGCTGATTGTGTCGTTTTTACGAAAAATTCAGGAGCTTTGTTCTAGCCGCAGATCTGCCGCAAATTAGTCAACCTCATCTGTCCAGCCTCATCCCAGAAGACCGAACCGAGATAACATAAAATGGCAATCCTGCGTCCAAGTTCGAAGTCCGCCGTTAAATGCGGACGAGATGGGCAGACGAAACCGAAACTGCCTTTAGGCCAGGAGGATGCGAGGGATGAGAATACTGCTGCTGATGATGAAGGTGATTATTATGACGATGGTGGTGATAGGGATGCTGATAATAATGATTATGATTATGATTATTATTATTAATGAAGGGAAGGATAAGGATGGTGGTATTGATAATGATGAGAAGTGGGAGGATAAGGAATAGGTTCATTATTATTATTATTATTATTATTATTATTATTATTATTATTATTATTATTATTATTATTATTATTAT